CGATACAGTGAAAAATCTGGGATAAAGAATTTAGATTAATATTTTTTTTAAACCTGCTAAACAGTGAGTCCACGAAAGTTGAACTGCAAAATAGTGAGGGACTACTGTGTAGACTTGGTTGTTTTCTCCCAGAGACAGCATGAAGGATAGAATGGGACCGAGCCATATTTAGTGAGTCACTGATGAACGAAAGCAAGACTCCGACAATCCCATTCCTAACTGGTGGCTGGAAGTTTCCCAGCCTTCAGGGAATTTAGTAAGGAATAAGAATTGCAATTAAATGCCATGATTTGCATGTGGCTGGTTCCCAAAAGGTTCACTTCCCAGTGGGAGACAAATTTGGGAAGCAAGGTTCTGTGGCCAGAAGCCTGGTGGGCTGGGAAGGTGAAGAGCAAGGGAGACCTGAAGTGAAGGACGGCCACTGTTGGGCCGTGGGCCAGAGGGCCATTGTGCTAGTGGGCCGCAAGCACCCTCCCCCCCTGTGTTGCCAGGCAACCTGATCATTCAGGGGAAGCCAGAGATAGGTTTTTGTGTAAGACTTTCTAATCTCTAAATATATGGAAGTGATTCAGATGTTTCAAAAATGTGTCTTTGGGCCAGAGCTGGATCACATCCCACTAATTTGCTGTCTTTCATTTATAGCAGCAGTTAGCAGACTTTCTGGGCTCAAGACTCTACTTTTAAAAACTGTGGATACAAGAAAAAAAAAAAAAAAAAAAACAACATGGATGTTCTCAGAGTTTTATGTTTATGTGAATTATACCTGTTGACATTTGTCATATTAAGAAATCAAACTGAATTTTTTTTAATTTATGTATTTGGTACAGGGTCTCACTATGCAGCTCAGACTCATAGTGATCCTCCTGTTTTCAGCCTCCCCCGGGCTGGGATTACAGGTGTGCCACACCACGCCACGCCACGCCCATGCCACACCAAACCTGGTCTGGGTGGCTGGCTCAGCATGCCCAGGGGTGGAGAGTGCAGCATGTGGTGCTGGGGATTGAACCCCAGTCCCTGAGCTTGCCTGAGCAGGCACCTAGTCTCCTGGGCTGTCTTGCTGGCCCCAAACTGAAAATTTTTTAAAAATTTAGCCTGCCATGGTGGTGCACACCTGTAATCTCAGGACTCAGGAGCCTAGGACAGGAGGATTGCCATGAGTTCTAGGCCAGCCTGGGTTACATAGTGATTTCAAGGTCAACCTGAACTACATAGCAAGACCCTGCTGCAAAACAAAAATAAGGGCCAGGGAAATAGCTCAGTGTTGTAATTGCCTGCCTGTTAAGTGCAAGGTCCTGAGTTCAGTTCCTGATCTCTGGGGTGTGTGTGTGTGTGTGTGTGTGTGTGTGTGTGTGATTAAATAACATTCATGTCAGCATAAATAACATATTTCTAGAATAAAGTTACATTGTTTTTGAAAATAGAAGACAACTAGATTTTATATCTGATTCTTTTATTTAGTCTGTTGTGTGTTTGGATTTGGTTGAAGTGTGTAAACAGAAAAATCCAGTAGTGTGTTTGGGAAAGGAAGATACATTTAATAGCCTTATTAGATAGCAGCCTAATTGAGAATATTATTCTTTCATGATGCATCAAAAAATAGGTTTCATAAAAATTAGTTGTGAAATGGAATCTGAAAACATAAGGAACTGCTTTTGCTTACTTTGAATACATCTTAAAACATTCATTTTTTTAAAAAAAAGGTATTTTAAAATACTTTTTTAAATTTACTTTTTTTTAAAAGTAAATTTATTTATTGGGGGAAAGAAAGCATCTGCCTGAGGGAGGGACAGAAGGAGACTCAGTGGGTTGCCAAAGAACCTGCCTTTCCTAGGGATTTTTTTTTTTTTTTTTGGTGGAACCAGGTTTTGAACTTAGGTCTTTGCGCTCACCAAGCAAGCGCTTATTCTACTGAGCTATCTCCCTGGCCCCTTTCCTAGGGATTTTTATAGAGGAAAACCATGAAACATGTACATGATTGTACTGGGCATGATGATCCACTCTTTTTTTTTTTTTTTTTTTTTTTAATTTTTGTTTTTGTTCTGAGACGGTCTTGCTATGAGTCAGCCTGCCTGGTATGCATAGGACCGTGATCCCCTTGCCGCAGCCTCCCAGGTGCTCTGATTACAGCTGTGACCTGACCAGTGATCCACTCTGATGATCCCAGTACTGGGGAGGCTGAGGCGGGAAGATTGCAGGTTCCAGACCAGTGTGACCAATTCATCAAAATTCCATCTCTCTAGGCATGGTAGTGCATGCCTATAATCCTGGGAGGCTGAGGCAGGAAAGATCATTTTGAGTTCTAGACCAGCCTGTGCTACAAAGTGAGCTCAAGGCCAACCTGAACAGCATAGCAAGACCCTTATACCCCTCGCCAAAAAAAGGAAAAGATTCCATCTCAAAGTGGGGGTAGAGCTTAGTACAAAGTGCTGGATTTATTCCTCAGTATGAGGGGCTGGGGTGTACATTGACCATTTGAAAAATATTTGTAGGTTATACAGATCTTCTAAATATGAACATGTTTCATTATATGATTGAAAATGATATTAATGTCATCTCATAAGAAATCTTGAAATAGCTGACGTAGTACATACTAGTTTTCTATAATTCTATTTTTTGCTTGGAAGCGCAGTGTGTTTTATCACTGTCAACAGTTTATCAGTGAAGCTGGCTGGGTGGTACACACCTGTAATCCCAGCCCTCGCGAGGCTGAGTTAGAGTTCTAGAACTGCCTGGGCTGTAAAGCGAGCTCAAAGCTCACTGAACTGCAGAGTGAGATCCTCTCTCAAAAAAGATACACACACAAACACTCACACAAAATCAGGTGTTTTGGTAAAGTAATGAATTCACTTTTTTTTTTTTTTAAACACAAGGTTACGTTTATTTTATTTTATTTTTACATTTTATTTAGTGTGTGTGTGTGTGTGTGTGTGTGTGTGTGGCCAGCTCAGCCCACCAGGGAGCAGGGCTGGCTGGCATGTGGTGCTGGGGGATTGAACCACGGTCCCTGTGGTTTGCTAAGCTTGTTCCAAGTAGGTGCTTTAGACCACTGAGCCATCCCGCCAGCCCCTCACTTTTTTTTTTAAGAGTAAATATCTGCCAATATCAGAGGTTTGTATGTGAGTTATTCAGCTCCACAAACAAGGCAGCTTGGCAGTTACACTAGGTTCTGTTCTTTTTTTTTTATTTTTTTTAATTTTTTTATTTTTATTTTTATTTTTTTTTTAAATTTTTTTTCAAAGTTTTATTGATAAACAGTAGGTTCTGTTCTTGAGGCAAGCTTTGTACTTCACTGTTTGTTTCCCACTCCCTCATAGAATATTGAAGATGTATAACAGTTAAAGTGATAACAGGGGGGCTGGGGAGATGGCTCAGTAGGATAACTGCTTGCCTGGCAAGCTTAAGGACCTGGGTTCAATCCGCAGTTCCACCAAAAAAAAAAAAAAAGGCGATAAAGTGATAACATGAATCGTTTTAACCCTTTGTTGAGGACATTCTCAAGAGTC